CTCCCGGTTGAGCACGCAGACAATGTTCTCAAAGGTCACCGTCTTCCTCTCAAGGGCCTCGCATCTTCCCAAGAGCTCCAGGGACCTGGAAAGCTCCGACTCGGAGCACAGAGAGTTTGCTGCCAGTAGCGGAGAGTTGTTTTGTGATGAGGAAAGGGAGGGAAGGGGCTTTAGGTCTCCAGACCCAGCCTTGAGGCTGAGCACAAAACTCAGTAGCATGTAGAGATGCTCTGCCAAACACTTGCTTTCGTGTTCTGGTAGCTTTTCATTTTCCACCTACATGAAGAGAAATACATCCCCCATTCAGCAAGCTCAATCTACGCTGTCACCATCCACAGAACAAATTCCTCCCCTTGAGGTCACAACGTTAGCTTTAAATTATAAAGGGGAAAAACCAAAGAAAGATAGTTAAAAAAAAAACTGGTTTGGGAGTGGGGGTGGGTTTTTTTGTTTTGTTTTAGAAATGCCGCAATCCCATACAATGATGGACGCTTAACGTTTCCCCAGCTGTACACACTGTTCTACTCTGTCTTCCTCCGCTACTTCCCCAAACGCGCTGTCAGATGTACTTAACAGCACCAAAGGACAAAGCCTCACGTAATCCCCCCGAGGAGGGATTTACATGAACATCACCAGTAGGAGCTGGGAAAACTAAGTCACGTGGAAAAACGTGGCCTGGCCCAAGCTCTAGAAGGAGAGCAAGACACCAGATGCCCAGTTCTGCGCTCACAGCTGAAAGCAGCCCAGCCACCAGTCTCAAAGCACTTGGGGTGTTTCTCAAGAAGGAGGTTTCCTTCCACATGAAGTTCATTCTCCGGACACCTGAACTCTGGAGAGCAGATGATGTTAAGCTCCATTTGCAAAGGGTCTGAAACACTACTTTGTTCAAATATCTGAACGCAAACATCTGTAACAGTTGGGGCAACAGCAGTTTGCAGGTTGCAAACACTGGAACTGAAAACAAGTCCCGAGATAAACATCAACGGACAAGCCCTTACCACCTCAGCACATCCGACAACCTCAAATCTGCAAGGCACTTTAGATCTGCCACAAGTCTTCACATGGTCCCGAAACTAGGAGGGAAGGAAGGCAATGTTAGATCTGATGTTTCCCCAGTAGCTCCCCTTCCATCTCACCGATGTCTAGGAAAGCGAAGACGATCTCAAGGACAGCCAAGCCATCGCTGATCTCTAGCTGCCAAAGCGCGTGGTTAAACCTGGACACTGCCTACCATTAGGTATGGCTTTCACTGTAATATAAATATAGCCCTGACACCTGGAAGGAAGTTTTATTTCTCTTTCTCTTGATGGCTAGGAGGTCTGACTTCCCAGCTGCATATGCAAGAAGGAAAAAGCAACCAGCACAGGTACATGTTACGGACGCTGAGCAACAAGCTTCACCGAGGGCAGAGGAAGGGGAGACCTGAGGAACACCCCTGCGAAACAGCCAGCCACTTAATTTTGTGCACTTCATGTAACCCCGCTCGGGACGTGCCACAGCTTGGTATTTTTCCATTAGCATTATAAATCTGAGAACAGAAAGCTCCCCAGTTGTCCTGCCTGAGTATTTGTAGCAATTACTGCAGCTCCACCTGCGCAAGGGAAGATGCTCCGCTGGGTCCAGCACCCCCTCGCTGGGTGCCGAAGGACACCGCACCTCGGCCGCCTCTCGTCCCGCAGCTGCCGTGAGGAATGGAGGCCAACGGTGGATATATCTACCGAAAAGGGCCACTAACCCCCCCAGCCACCAAGATGACTCGTTTGGGTTCCCACACAGCGCATGATTAATGCTAACAAGCACTGGCACATTATCATCTTGTTTTTGATACACCTCTCTTCATCAGATATCAGTGGTCTGTTCTGAACAACACCCATATTCCACATTTAACACCTACATCTGCTACAACAGATGTCGATTAAAACTGTTTTTAAAAACTTCTAGATCCATCTGGCTTGCTTAGTGAGTCAGGTTACTCAGAGTTACAAGGGCTGCAGCTAATCAACAAAAGTTTGGAGAGAGATAAAAGAGGGAGTTGTTAATATTTAAACAAAAGACAGATCACCGGTGGGAATCCTACAAGCCCAGTCTCTGCTGGGCTCCAGCTTAGCCTGCAGACAGGCAGATCTGTACCCCAAGACCCCAGCACCAAGTCCTTCACTTCGCTGCCCATTTGGAACTCCTCTTTGCTCATCTTTTGGATGCTTCTGTCCCCCCTGCCCCGCTACAAGGGCCTCTCGCAACACTGCTACTAAAAATATTTGCCCGTAGCAGGCAGGACGGTTTCAGATGAACGTGCTTTTTCCAAGATGTTTCCCAAAACTCTGATTTTCAGACTTTTGAGCCTTGCCCCAGGAGCCAGCAGCAGGGAGACCCTATAGACATGGAATCCATGTCATGATTCATTAGAAATAAATTAATTTAGCTGGAGATGGGCTCCCTTTCCATAACTGCAGCAGTGGCTGACACAGTTGCTTTACACAGGACATAAGTACCCTTTAAACCCACGAGCGTGTTTTTCCCATGGAGGATCTGCACCCAAACAGGGCAAACACGCCGCTCAAAGGGAGGCGGCGTCGGCAGCACTAACGCAAAACTACAAGTGCCGATGAGTCACGTTCACTCGCGCCCGACCGGTATTTTGAGCCTCATGGAAAGGTCACATCTGTACTAACGGCTGCCACTTCATTGTTTTTTTCCCCGCTCTGCTTTCTAATGGTCTCGTTTTTCCTCCCCGCTCCAAGATCGCCGGCGTCAGCCCATCAGGACGCCAACGCCACCGCGGCACACCGTTCACCGACAGCGGGATGGATACCTTCTCCCTTGGAATCTTCTTCCCACAGCCTTCGCAAGTCAGTGGAAACTCAGGGCAGACTTCATCATGAGCCTGTAAAAGAATCGACAGGACAACAGTTGGTCCTCTAAATAAAAGCTCCGATGAGGTCATATGATGAGTACAATTCAACAGGGGTAATTTCATCCTTTATGACAGAAGAGCACTGTTTTCTACCAACCTATACTCAAATCTTGGTCACACCGATAATTCTGCATGCTGACCCAGTTGTGTGACCTCCAGGCCACCAGAATTTTGGGTGCCTCTGTAGCCTCAGCCTCAATTTAAAAGCTGCTATAATTTACAAAAAACCAATCAAGTTACTGCTTTGATGGACAAGATAATCAACAGGAAGCTCCACTTATGGCTCGACCAGGAAAACACACATTCGGGCAGGCTGAGTGAAGTAAGCCACTGTCTCAGCAAGATAATTTGTATAATTTTTCCACTGTAATGGTTATCAGTCAGCTGAAGTACAAACCCATAGCCTGCTCATCACATGCTGGGCTGAGCCCTCTGATAGTATCTTCACATTCGAATCAGAAAATCAGTTTTCAACCAGAAAGAAAAGTACTTCAACTATGTTTTATTTAATAGCCCCTGCATGCAAGCACCCCCCTTGCAGCAAGAGCACACACAGTCTGTTTGGCGGCCAGCGGAGCTCAGCAAATGATCGGGGCAATGTGATACTCTGTCCCCAGCAGACACCGGGGCCAGCAATACCGGCTAAATTGGGAACGCCAGAATGTGCCTCTGCTTTCTGTGTCATTGCCACACGGCTTAAACCTTCCCTTTACACACCGACCAGCTGAAACAAGGTATTGTAAACGCCATGAATCTCCACTTCAAAATTCATTGAAAGATTGAAATTGAAAGATAAGTGCGCTAAAGTATCCTGCCATGCTAGTCCCAGGAAAAAAAAAAAACAAAACAGAAGCATTTATAAAGTAGTCATCTGAAACCAGATGCTTTGAAAACTTTTATGTATTTTGAGATGTTTTGAAAACATTTATTCTTTATTAAAATAAGTTACTATCTCGGGGGGGCGGGGAGGGGAAACACGCACAAACTTAAAGACTGTTACCACATCAGAAACTGGAAAGTGAAACCCATTAGTGGCTCAGCTTTGGCTTCTTAGTTACTCTCTCCTTTTTATATTTTAAATGAGTAATCAGACTCGAAGCCTCACTGCACCGTCCCTGGAAAAGCGACCGGCCAGCCTGCGCGGTTCGGCTGGGCAGCGCTGCCTGCAGAGGCGGCGGCGGAGGCAGAGCGCCTTCCTTCATCCCGCTCGCTCGGAGGGGCCGAAACCTTTCCTCTACCCACCTACTGCTCTCATGTTCTAGCAACACCAGATAGCATCTTCCCCGCGACCCGCAAAACGCTGGCATAAGAACAGACGGTCTGGCTGAAGGAAGGAAACTTCACTGTAGAGGCAACTATTTAAAAAGGGAGTATTTAAAACTTCTGTTCTCCCATGCCATCGCGCTAGGCGTGAAACTACCACCCCCTCCGCACTCCCCACCTCCCAGCATTTATCTTCCATCCCGACTCCACGCTACACCGTGATACAACACCCAGCACGCAGGCAGCCCTGCGAAGCGTGCCCAGCTCACGGCACGAGAAGGGAAACCAGCCCCGCACAGCTAAGCCGAAAGTGCAACTGGTCAGTATGTAAATGGTTTAAGGCACCCAGCAGCATTAGCTTGAACCAGCCCAGATCCAACCCTCTAGACAAACATTTTTGTATAAACAGTTTCGGGCTCTTCTGGAATCCCCTGTTCCTCCCCCCTCTATGCGGGTGCCTAAACAGAGACGGACGGTATCGCTGCTGGAAGAAATCCACCCCGCCCAGGAGCCGAAGAGCAGGGGCTGGCATTCCAGCCTGATCTGCCACACTCCACTCCCCCAGGAATGGGGCAATCCTCCTGTTTACACCTTTCCCAAACCCACATCCGCGAGCTTCTGCGGCAAGGCCGAGCATCTCTGAGGCTCAGGCAGGCGCTGTGAACGTTTTGGGCAGCTTTGGAAAGCCACCACTGCGAGCGGGGCTGGGTGAGAGCAGAGTCACTCTCCCAAAGTGAACCTGTCCTGGAAATCAAGTCAGATGGGGGTCGGAGAGAGGGGGTGGCAATAGGAGAATTAAAGCGGAGCTGGAAGACAACGGCTTGACTCAGACCTTCAGGGCCACTCTCCCGTTACCTCGGCGTTGACTTCTCACCCACCAGCTGTAAACCGAGGCACAGACCAGCCTTCGGCATCCAACAGCAGGGGTAGGAAAATCAAACCGGGCAGAGTTAACAGCCTGCACAGCAACACCTCGCTCTTCCCACTCAATTAAAACCAAACCGGCCTATTGATCCGCACATCAATTTCGGCCCCTAAAAATAAACAGCGCAACAACCCAGTGGCAGCCTGTACATCACACGCCGCCATCAGAACAGGAGATTCTCTGGGAGCCCACCTGAGAGACAAGAAAATCAGACACCGCTGCCGCCTTCGGAAGGACCAAGGCGGCCTACGAGCGCTCGCTTGGGCACAGGCGCTTGTGGGCCACCACTGCGGCCGCTCCGTCCTCCAGCGCCTACCGGTGCTCCTCTCCGGAGCAGCGCCAACGGGCTGCGATGGAGGTGCTGAGCCCTCCTCCCCTTGCCTGCAGGCCTGCCGGTGAACGGAGCTGCCTGCGCGCACGCTGTAACTCTCCTACCTCAAGACCAGGAAAGCAGAAAAGCAACTTGCAGTATCTGCAGTGGAGGTTTCTCTCGGGGCACTCCTGCTCAGAGCGGGGCTCCTTCCCGTCCAGCGGGATCACGCCCCTACACCCCTAGCCCTCAACCAGCAGGGACGGGCAGCTCCCTCACGGCAGCTCTGCGACAGCAAGGGCAGCACATTTCAACGCAGCCGTGCAGAAAAGCGCAGGCACGCACGGGGGAAAAGTGGGTTTTAATAACAGCAGCCGATCCCTGGAGGACGCAATGATCGTTTCCTAAGGAATGCCAGGATGAGCTGCTCTGCTGTGCCTGCGTAAGTAAGACAAAAGGGAAAACTGCGGTTTAATCTGATTGCTGTTTCGCCTCTCAACGCTTTGCTAAACTTGACTTGAACTATAGAAGAGGCTACTGCTGAAAATCATTATCCCCGTATCGCGGGGGCAGAGCAGGAGGCGCACCTGCTCCCCAGCTGCCCTGCTCGTAACCTGCCGTACCAACGCAAGTCCGTTTTTACGGAGGTCTTGCAACCGCGTTGGGAAATCCATCGGCGCGACGCAACGCTCCCCCTCCAGCTAAGAGGCACGGCAGGCGGCCGAGAGCAGCAACCTTTGAAACAGCTTCTGCGAGATGCCTCTGCCAGAGCCCTGCAGGAAGGTGATCGCAAAGGGCAGGGCTGGCAGAGAGGTGCGGTGCCACGGGCTTGGTGCGAGCTGCACGCACCGCAGCCCCTCTGCAAACACTCTCCTGCAGGTTGATCTTTGGAAGTGAGGCTGTTAGTCCCCTCCGAGCACGGCAACAGCACCCACAAGCACAAACAAAGCTGAAGGGCTTGGCAGCAGGAAGGGAGCACCGAAAAGGAAGGAAAATTAACAGGACGGCAGAGGAAAGCCAGCTGAAGCGGCACAGCGTTCACCAGAGCGATGGCAGGGCTGCGGCAGTCCCCAGCCCCGGCATTGCTGTGTCCAGCACACAGCTCCTTTGGTGTCTTAGCCTGGCTACAAGAAAAAGGATGGGCCCACAGAATTGCAGAGAAAAGACTGAAAATGGGTCTCCAGCGCAAAAGAGTCGCCTGCCTAGGTTTTGAGGGAACCTGAATCCCTTGTGCCAAAAAGCACAAGTTGCTTCGGGCACCTCTGCCGGGTCCCCAGGGGCTCCGGAGCCTCCAAGAGCGGAGCGTGCCACAAAACACAGGTACTTTGGGACATCCTGCTCCTCTGAAGCCAACGTGCCCCTCCGTGCTGCGTCTCCTCCTCGTCAGGGGAGCCCTAAGGCTGGTTTTAAGCCAGGCCTGCTCAAAGCTTCCCCCACACAGGTGGGCTGGGCTACCACGCACGTGGTCCTTGCGCTACAGCACAGAGCCCAGCAACACAGGGCCGGAAAGCAGGAACCCAGTCTGTAACTCACAGTGCCAACTGGGAACGGGAGCTTTCTGAGACCATCGCATCAGCTGGCACCAGACACAAACTGCTCCCTTTGCTGGGACACGCTGGTGACAGAGATCCGAGCAAGTCCACTTGCCATCACAAATAACTGAACCTCAAAGAAAGTGTCAAAAACAAAGATTAAGTTCCCATCAGTAACTGCTCGTGGCTTTGGTGGGCGTGCGTATGGCAGCGACGGCACGGGAGACCCGCACCGCCTTTGCTCTGCCGTCCAACGCCACGGCGTCCCTCTGAGTTGAGGACAAAAATGGGCAGAAGAGATCTCGGGGGTTGCCAGGGGCCTCGCTCACACCTCTTTTAAGAACCAGCACAAGAACTTTTGCTTTCAACGTTCAGCGGTTTTGTTCGTTGGCTTTTAGTTGATTAGATGTTTGATGTGGGGTTTATCAGTAGAGGGACATCAAGGCAGCGTTTCTTGCATTGAAGATGGATGTGAAAGCAAGAGCAGGTCTTGAAGAAGGTTGAAGGTACAAGAAACATTTAAAAGCAGCAGTGGGTTTTCTAACATTTCCTAAAACAGACTCTGCCTTTCCCCGTTTGCTTCAAACTACACGAGCACGAGGCGGTGGGACGCTCCAGGATGCTTTTTTCCAAATCCCTCCATCATCCCCAGAGGACTGATTTTCCTAGGGAGACTCTGGTCTGAAACGGAGCAGGGCAGGACCCCCTGAGCGCTTTAGATAAGCCTGAGTCTGAACCTGACCGGGCCCCACGCCAGCTGGAGCCCACGCGCCACTGTCCCTCGCCTCAGATGTGGCTAGCTGCTTCGCAAAGCAAAAAGACTAAATCTGCTTGCCAAGGAAATGAAAAATTACAGCGTTGGACTACACCGAGTCTCCGTAAGCAGCTGGTTGACACGTAAGGGAGGTTCAAAGCAATCGGGAACATCCGATCAGAGATAACTCCGCGGGTTTTCTAGGCTAGAATTAACAGTTACAGTCACGCTCACATGAAAAATGCCCAAAACGTGCTGTGCACGTCTAACGAGGCCACTGCTTGAGAACAACCCGTCACCGAGGAGCGGATACCAATCGTACCACCACACTAACGATGCCAGGCGCCAGCACGTTTGTAGCATTGATCTGAATTCACCTCCAAGAGTTATTTCTGACAGCCGACTGCTGCCGTTAGCCGCAGGAGATGCTGCGGTGCTGACAGCTATGCTCTAAGCACGCTGAAAGCGCCGCCCGTGCCGACCAGGTCCCAGAACACCACCCCTGGAGAGATCTCCCTCCCCTCCAGCAGGGCTTTCACCAGCACGCAAAGCTTCACCTTAATCGCTCAGCTCAAAAGGGGCAGCCTCAGGACGAAGCCTCTCAGAGGTCTGCCTGGCCGTCCCGTCAGAAAGGGCGGCGTTGGGACCGGCCAAGCTCTGCGGGCTGCAGACGGCGCACAGGGGCAAGGTCGACTCCGTCGCCAGCGCGGAGGTGCAGGCTGTGAACAGAAGGGCTGCTACAGCCCGAGGCCGAGAACACCACTGGCACCCAGAAAAGGGGAGATGAGACAAATATTACAGCCAGGACGGGTGTCTTTCACGTGCTGGAGAGGTCAAGCTTGTGGTGAGTGGTTTGATTTCAAACCCGATTTCTCTAGGCTGTCCGAAGAGCTGGAAGTGCCCAAGGGTGCGGGATTGTGGCTTTGGCTCCTGCCAGACACCTGGAGCCCCAGGAACATCTCCCTGGGTGTGAGGTGCTTCCCCACCACTCCCAAAGTCGAGTTCACGGTGAGGGGTTTCATCACGGCTTAGAAGGGACACATAGCACTCAGCTTCAAAGCTCACAACTTACAGCTTTCTGTTTTCTAAGGGGCAGATGCCAAAACCGTTAATTAGGTGGGCCACCGCAAGAAGGCTGAGCTGGTTTTAGAAGCTAAGAGCAGCCCCTCTACAGCTGGAGCTTTCCAACCCCCCTGCCAGGCGCGCTCTCCGGCGCTCCCCGACCTCCCACCACGGGCTCGGATGGGAAACTGCCTCGTGCCTGGGCCGCCAGCTACATAAACTCGACTTCGGGGACTGTAAGGGAGGCCGGGTTTTGTTTGGGGACCTCAGCTCCAGCTCTGGAAAGTAAAGGTGTGCCAGATCCCTTTTTCCAAAGCAGGAGGTCCTTTCGGTCACCTGCATGTGCAAGTCAGGGATTGTCCCACAAGAAAGCGATCTGGTCCCGGGGCAAACTGCTGATCAGGCTGGAGCTGGCTGCAAACTGCACCTCAACACCATACCGTAACTTGGAGCCAAAACCTTCAGAAAAAGACAATAAATGTTGTACCTGATTTTAAAAGGAAGGCTGGTCGCCCTCCTACAGCATCGTCAAGGGTGCTTGCCACCGCGCTTAAAATGCTGTACCCGATGCAGACAACGCCGCTATAAAACGCTCAGAAGTGCGCTTCGGGGGCAACAGGAGCCAGGTGAAGCAGCTTCAAAGACCAGCAGCTCTGCTCTAAGCAATGTGCAAAAAAGCCTGAAGCTGAAGTTTTCAGCCTAAGCTCAAAACCACCACCAAAAACTATCGGGGCGTTCCTGGGATGCGTGAAACGGTGAAGCATGACGAAGCAGGAGACCCCCCGGCTCAGGACCCCAGCAGCGTTTTTGACGAGGGACAGTTTTCTCTACACGAGGTGCAGCGGGGCTTCTCCAGCATCTCCCAGTAGGAAGACTGGGCAAAGAAGGGACTGCCCAGTTACCTTGTCCTCCGGGCCCCAGGAAGCCACGCAGCCCAGAAGGGGCTGCAGACACCTCTCCAACACCACGGGCTTTGGAGTAACACCACTTAAATTCTGAGGTCTGCATCTTCCACAGCCTTCCAGGCTTCAGTTAAAGCGAACTCTCCAAACCCGAGGTGACAACTGCCCACAAGGAGAACACCTCCCCTCCAGTTTGGATGAGGACAGGTTATCATCCCAGATGACAGCCACCCATCCTCATCAGCTGAGCTCATCTGTTTTCCTAGCAGCAACCCCGCCCCCACCTCAGCTTAAATACTGCTGTCAGGATTAAGCTTAAAACTTAGTTCTTCTTCCAAACCTTAGACAATCCCATTTCCGTATGTCTCAAGTAATTCTGTACCTCCCGAGATGAGCGGGGCATAGTTAAAACCTCTGGCTGGGGTAACGTGGAAATGCCAAGGCTGACCACGTGAACGCCCCTCTGCAGCCCCCTCCTCCCATCCCAGTCCCGGAGGGGGGCAAAGAAAAGGAGCTGGCGGTACGAAAAGCATAAATAAAAGGTCTATGAGAGTGGAAGGTGTGTTGATAAAACAGAAGAGAGAGTGGGCAACTGGAGGTACTGCAAGGCAAGAAAAGAAATGCTCCAGTGCTGAGAAACCACAAGCTCCCTCTGCCTGGATGTCACAGGACGCGTTTTCTTGGTCCTCCCTTTACTCTAATGGGCAATTGAGTTTCTGCAGCCCTCCTCAGACTTTCCACCTGAAGCTAAAGGCTCCTGCCCACAGCCTGCTTTTCTGTGCGTTCGTTCAGGCAGACTCATCAGGAAACCCAAACATGAAAAGAGGTTACTGATTAAAAGGAAAACCCCTGCAGCCCCACCACAAACTGCTTTATCCAAACGCCACTAAATATTTACAATATTTACAAAGTCTGAAAAACGCATTTATAAACCCAGGCATGAGCTAAGCACTTAAATATTTCATACGCTTCACGCAGGTTTAAGCAGAAGTGCAAGTCATGCCCAAGCAGATCGCACTCTTTCAGTTTTGTACGTCCCTTTGAGGCCCAAACTTTGGTCTGCCTGAACAGAAAGCAAAACTGAAATCAGTTTTATTACTTTTTTTGAAGTTGAAGACCCAAAGCTTTTCAGCTGCAGAACATTTTTTTCCTTGTTCGTGCCCTGATACGATGAGCAAACCAGAAGTGACAGTATCTCTTGATTTGTAAGTGGAGAACAGCCAAGTAAGTCTCTCTCAGTACAAGCACACGATTTTTAAATTAGCAAACAATGAATTTGCTCTTAGGGACTTTCCATGTCCTGTCGGAAATAGCACAGCAAGGGACTTTCCATAGTGGGAGCGCTGAGCTGCTGCAGGACGTTACACACATTGCTGGCTACAGATGCAACCATACTGCACGAGGTAAACTCCGCTTTGCGGCACTAAACAAGCCTACCCGTAAGGCAGGGTTTAACGTTAGTCCACGGCACCGAGAGAGTCTCCGGGCTAACACGGCCGTTTGATGCCTCCTTTCATCAGCCCTCCTCAGCCACACATACCATCTCCTAAGCTCCGACTGCACGAGGACAGCCAGGCCTGATTAAATGCCACGGCTCTTTGGCAGGCAGCTGGGAGAAGAGATAACACAAGCCAGACCATGCCTCCTCCCACCAGTTCCCAGGAAAGAAGCAGCTTTTCCCGAGAGGACACAAAATAACCTTACCCCCATCAGACCGAGTGCCAGCCACGGCAGGCAGGAGAGGCGAGCTCAATCCCGAGACGAACCAACTAACGCTGCTCGAAATCCCTGCTCCTTTCATCGCACAGGACTCCCCTGCGACTCACAAAAACCGTGACAGTTTTTGTCCAAGCACTCCAGAGCCGCACCGCTACGAAACACACTGTTTTAGCAAAGCACCTAACAGGACTTTTTGAAGATTAGGTGGAGAGGAAGAAAAAGAGACGCAGCCTTATCACTTCAGACGCTGTTAAGCAGTTGTGCATAAGATCCCGGAGCATCACGCACACACGCAGCCTTGCAAGAAGACAGGCTTATCCCAGGACAGCTCGTTGCCTTTTTAAACTTCTAGCGCAAGTCCTGGCTGGACTCAAGGCTGTGTTCAAGCACTTGTGAGACCACGCAGGGAGGACCTTTGGCAGCTGACGATTTCTGCTGAGCCCTGCAGGAACTCTGAGATTTTTTTTTTTAAACCCAAAAGTTTAGAAGCGCTCCTCAGTCACAGCACAATCGACAGCACTGGAAGCTGCTGACAAATATAATTTGGTTGAGTCTCATGGAGATGAGCTCACTTACTACAGTCACCGTTTCGAACACTGCAGTTGGCATCAGACTCCTCGTCACTGGTCACCAGCAGAAATGAAAGCGTCGGTCAAACAATCTGCAGGCACCAACAGCACAGCCTGAACCTGGAACCTCAGTAAAACACCCTCTACCCTGCACTGCAACTCCCAAACTCTCTCTGCTGCATCAGCGTGAAGCTTTTAACCTGACACTTATTCAGTCGTCCATCCACACCATGAGCCACTTGCAGGTCTATGGATGAGGGTTTCACAGCAGGAGAACCGTTCAGCACCCTACATCCCCTCACCTTCTGGACTGAATTTTTCGCATAAAGCAGCGGAAGGTTCTAGCCAGCAGGACGAGGAAGCAGAGGCACAGAAGCATCTCCCTGTTAACAGGCTCAGCGAGCTAGGCAGAAATCTCAGGCGTGATCCACAGCTGCTGTTTCTTCCCGCCATCTTGCAGCGGCATTGCAAAGAGAACCCAAAGGTTAGCCTAGACAGAGCGAGGTTAAACCTTTTCCTGACACGCACCTCAGTCACTACCAAAGCTCCACGAACCACAGGGCCGCAATCTTTACCTAGGGCAAGCATCAGAGGGAAATAAAATTTATTCCTCTTATCTCAGGCCCCCCACGTGGTGGTTCTTCCATTCCAAGAGGGATGACAGAACTGCCCTTCAGGAGCACAAAGCTTCACAGGCGAACATACATTCGTTCTTAACCGCCAATGCATTTTAACGACACAAATTGCCACAGCAGAGTTGACTTGCTGGAAAGCACAGGGAAGCGTGGGGCCCGCTGCCATCCTCAGCAAGAACACACTTCTCGTGAGGCACGTCGGCTGTATACATGCTAAGGACCACACGCCCAGGGCCACAAAAAGAAGGCCTGGACTAAAGAGCTGATGGGCTCCTCAAGAACAGCAGGGCTGGAAAAACCACCCTGTCCCGCAGGCTGGTGGCCCAGAACAGCTTGGAGCGACGGGTGGCCGGCCAGCGCCACTGCCCTGGTAGCTATGGGGGCGCTGGCTGGAAATAGGATTGTGGCCAAGCCGCTTGCCCCAAGCTCATGGGTTTGACGTAGGTTTTAGGTTCACATAATGCAGAGAACTTCACGACAATTTCATGGCACAGCATGGTTTCTTGACAGTTCGCTTGTCTTTTATAGCGGAAAGGAGCTGGAGACAGAGCGGGTGGTTCCCACCACAGAAGGGCCGTGCTTGGTGCCTCCGATCACAAGCGAACGTGAAATTGTTTCCGTTCAGCCTGTGCCCTCAGCAGGGCACACAAACCTGGCTCGGTCAAGAAATCGCTCCAGCTTACAGCGGAGTCCGGGGAGCTAGCAGCTCCCACCACCGCTGCCAGCGTCAGCGGACAAGCCAAACCACCCGAGCCTTCCCCAAACACAGAGGAAAGAAAAAGGACGCAGACATCGAAAGCCTTGCTTTGATCTTTACCTCGTATTCTTTAATCGTCCCCTTCCAAGTGCAGCCACTGTTAATACAGACAGCAGGCAGACTTTCCACCTCCCGACGAGCTGCGTTGTCTGGGAAAGCCTAAAATGGAAAAACCAAGCAAACCACAAAAATTACTGAGGGGTTGCAGTTTTGGTCGGGTCCCCTAATTCTTTATGAAGACTTTACTCCCAGGCCAGTTGCCACCTCACATCCTCAGAGATGCGCTAATGGGAAACAAATCGTTACGACAGCGTTTAAGTAGGGCACTGCTATGTTAACATGACCTGGATTTTAGAAGCTGGGGAGTCCACCACATTAATCATAACTCTCACTACTGAAGAAAACGTTTCCTAGGAATAACGGATTCTCAGAACTTGCGTTTTAAACAAAAACTGCAAGTGGGATTAAAGACATCAGCGAGCTGCTTTATTTTTTACAATGCATTTTTGCTTACCGAGCTTTTTTCCAAAATAGAAATTCCTTCTTCGTATATTCCTTCCTGAATACAGCTGGCACACTTTTGAGGTCCCGCACTAGCAGACAGAAAAATAACCATCAAACACAACAAAAAGAGACCGATTTTTATGACTTAACGATAAAACGGTTTCAGGTAACTTTATAAAATTAAAGCATTCTCTTATTTTTAAAACACCACGTTGAGCCTTTGCTCACGTGTACTTTTGACGCCCGTTTCTGATTCTAATTTTTTTCTTCTCCTGATTAACCGCTCTATTCACCGTCCCTCACGGAAAGGCAAGAGTGAGACAGAACACTACGAAACTTTTCTGGAAGCCAGCGTCTCACATTTTGGTACAACAACCATACGATGACTTTTAGGAGCAAGTTCCTTCGGTAGCTGTGAGGAAGACTGAAGGAGATGGGTGATCCACCTGGATCGCCACCTGAACAGCAAAAACAATCCGGGAGATTCTGGAAAAGGGAACTCTGAAACAACCCGCAGAACAGTAAAAGCAAGTCAGAGATTACACATTCCCTTAAAGAAGACCTGGTGCTGAACTTCAACACACCTCCCTTGCTGAGAGGGCCCTGAAAATTAGATTTTTTTTCTCCTTTTCTGCTTGAAAAGGCCTTTTCAAGCATTTTGTCTTCAGACCGAAGGCACAAAAGTTACCTTATAATTTTCTTCAGACAATAGGAACAGTAGCGATGTCCGCACTGAGCTTGAAACGGCCTCCTCAATATGTTCTTGCAATCGGAGCAGAGGTATTTGACCTCCAGTTTAGTTCCCAGGATCTCCTTCGCAAATCCAGGCTGGTTTAGATCCAAAGAGCCGGGCGGAGTAGAGTTTGCTGCTGCCATGTGAACGAAAAATTCTGGCTGTATCTCCAGAGCCTGAAAATAAAAATATTTTCCCTGTTTGATTATAACTGGATGGTGGTCATTTTTCACATAAACTGCATTACTCGCAGCACGTTACACTGGCACCCAAAAGCCAACAACGCAGGCAAACACACAGATGCAAACCACGAGTCTGCCTCCACCTAGTTAAAAATATGGAACGAAACTTTACAGCTCATTTGAGAATTAAGTCCAGAACAAAGAGACAGGGTGGACAGACCTCACCGAAATCCCTCTCCAAGTTCAGTGAAATGCAGCCTACTCAGAGAAATCAAGGCTTCTGTCCCAAAACAAGGCAAAAATCAGTCGTAAAGCTGATCAGGAAGAGAAATAAACCATCTCAGTCCTCCTGGAGGCACCGAGTGGGGTCACCACAGCCCACCACCACTTGTTCTCACGTCCGACAGCTGTCAAAAAGGACGGTAATGCCGCCCAGGGCCAGGCGCTCCCGGGGAGACGCCGTGCCCACAGCGGAGCCCGGATTTACCGGCAGCACCCTGGCGGGCGTAGAGGGCTGGAAAATGAAGATTTGAGAGGCGCAAGCAAATCGGAAAAGAGGAAAAGAATAAAATGCCTTTGTTTTGACGGCTTGCGATGATCTAAGGAGGCATCTCCTGCAAATCAGAAAGGAGGAAAACAATAAAATGCCTCTGTTTTGACGGCTTACGATGACCTGAGGAGGCATCTCCCACCTTCGGGCCCTGCAGGCCGAGGCAGCGGCTCGGCTCCCGCACAGGCTGGGCCTGGGGCAGCCTCCAGCTCCCCCGGGCAGGGGCTGCGGGAGCCCACGAAGAGCCCAGACCCCGGGCAGCAGGAGGGAGATCCCCTTCCAGCGCCGAGCCCCCGCGGCAGCGCCCTGCGGCCCGGTTGCTGCCGGGGCTCTGCCTCCCCGGCCCCAGCCTCGTTATTCCCCCGCTGCAGGCATTTAACCGGGTCTTTAATGGGAAATTCAGGTTTTTAAGGTGCCCCCGGGCTGGCCGTTCCTCCCTCGGCACCGGCCCGGGCACCGCCGCGGGCCAG